TTTCTAGTATGACAGACATATTTTATCCCCCAAAAAAAATCTGTTCTCACTGAATCCAAAACATTTCTATTTGGGTTCTGTACACAAGAGGTTTGAAGAATCCAGACACACTCAAGTTTTACCAGCCCCTCAAATATTACCACTGCATAAAGTTTCTACAATTCAAATACGGACTTCTCTTATAAATTATCTAAAGCTAGTATTTTAGACCAGGAGCAATTTTGCCACACAGAGGAACTTGGCAATGTCTGGAGACACTGTTGGTTGTCACGTGTGGGGAGTAGGGGTGCTATCGGGTCGAGGCCAGCGATGCTGCTAAACATCCTACAGGGCCCAGGACAACACAGCGCAGTGAATTATCTGGCCCCCAAAGTCAGTAGGGCCACTGTTGACAAATCCTGATCCAAAGGAACTCAATTCATTTTTTTAGGAAAGGCAGTATGCCATTGACTTACCAGCATCTGAAGTATATAGTAGCTTTTCCTGTATCCAGGACTGCTGTCACTGCTCTCATCTGACAAACCAAGCACCCCCTTCTAGAAACAGGAGAATGCAGTTGTCTTAGAACTTCTTTTTCCTTTCAGTCTGTTGCTTCCTTTCCAGATGGGTACATATTGCTCAACACTCGGAGAAGAGCTACTCAAAGTAACTACCCTAAGTTAGTGGCTCTGCCAAGGTATGCAATATCTTGGATAAAATGGGAACCCCCCAAACGGATTTGGGGGAAGTCAGGGCCAGAGGCTGTCTCTGTCACCATCCCTCCTTCTCACCACAGCCTTGGGCCCACATCCTTCTTGCTGCGTCTGTGTATCCCCACTCTGCCCCAGTGCCAACCTCGGCCTTCTCGCCCCAGCTCCCTCCCCTTCTGGGATGTCAGAGACAGTCCAAGATGGTCTACTAGCCCATGTGCATAACCCTAGACCACCCCCTCCCAACACACACACACACACACACACACACACAGAGCCAGGCCCCAAGGAGCAGCCAAGTTTTGACCTGGATTTTTATCTTCTCCCCCCTCAACACAAGCACCTTTTCACCCGTGTGTGCATATTGCCTAAAATTTCCTTTTTTGAAGTCAATAGGATTTCCACTTCAAATTGGGGTCTTCTGTGACATCTTAAAATATTCCAAATGTTTTCAGCCCCTTGGATGAATTTAAGTGGATAATGACGCCAAAAATATCTCGTGAAAAAAAACAACTTATTTGTAAATAAAAAGCATTGTTCTGAGTGTACTGTTATTGAAGTCAGTGATTAAAACAACATGCTTTCATTTCTGATACCAATCCTACAAAGAAGGTACACAGGAAGCACAGATGTCCTTTGTTACTGAAGCTATAACTGAGTTATTTGTGTTGCCTTAAGGTTCATATATTGAATTCCTAATGGCTAGTGTGATAGTATTTGGAAGTGGGGCCTTTGGAATGTAATTAGGTCATGAGGGCAGTGCCCTCATGAATGCGGTTGATGCCCTTATAAGAAGAGACACACAGCAGCTTGCTTCCTTTCTCTCTCTCTCTCTCTCTGCCATGTGAGGATCCAATGAGATGTTCGTCTGCAAATCGTAAAGAGGGCCCTCACCAGGAACGCATTGGTGGCACCTTGATCTTGGACTTCCCAGCCTCCAGAACTATGAGAAATAAATTCTTGTTCATTAAGCCAGACAGTCTATGGTATTTTGTTATAGCATCCAGAGCAGGCTAAGACATGGGCTCAGCACGAAAAAGCACCAGGATCATCTAGCAATGACTATCCTGATCAGGCAAATGGGCAGCAATGGCATATATGCTCATATTTGCCATTAATTCTAGATACACCTAGGAGACATGTACCTATATCTCTACCTGTCATCTGTTTGGAAAGAGCAAGAACTGTTTGTGGGGTTTTTTTTCTTGATCATTCTTATATCCCCATACCATTGATCAATAAATATATGTTGAATAAATCACTTGTACAAATTCTAAATGTCACACATGACCTTGTATTTGATCACATCTGCCCCAGAATGGGTGAGAACCAGAAAACAATGTTGCTGAGCCCAGATGGTTAAGCTGGGTGATCATCCAAACTGACTCACTAGGTCTGTAATTTGTTTCCATAAAGCAGCCTACAGCAACACACGACTGAAATTTCTACCTTGACAAAATAATAAATTATATGTTATAGACTACTAGGTTGCCTGTAATTAATAGGCGAATAATGAAAACTGAGATGATAAATCCCAAACTTTTGCTCTGAAGTGCCCCATCAGCAAAAGAGTAAATGCCATTCCTCTGGAGGCCTAGCAAGAAAGACATTGCCTAGCTCAAAAATATGCTAGAGTCACACATTTCATCTTAAAAATTCATGTGAATTTTGTATTTATACCACAGTAGATTTATTGTAATATTAACATGTTTTAAATTACCAATTAAATTTTTCTCAAAAAAAAAACATCTAGAAAACTGATAGTCTTAGAAGATGTACCATGTTCATCTTGCGTGTGGCCCACCTCTGACCCACCACCAGGTCCTCTGAGGGAGCACATTATGATACACAAGAAGGGTGAGTGTAATGCCCTAATGTACGTGGTCAGTGTAGCTGGTTGAACTGTGTTCCCTAAAAAGATAGTACAAGTTCTAACCCTCAGTATCTGTGAATGTGATCTTATTTGGAAATAGGACCTATGCAGATACAATTAAGTCAAGAATCTTGAGATGAGTTCATCTTGTATTTAATCCAGTGAGAGAGTTTTTCAGACACAGAGAAACGGGGGAAAAGTCATGTGAAGATGGAACCAGAGATTGGAATTCTGCTGCCACAAGCCAAGGACCCCAAAAGCCACCAGCAGCTGGAAAGAAGCAAGAAACATTTTCCCCTAAAGCCTTAGGAGAGAGCATAACCCCACTGAGGCCTTGATTTCTCACTTCTGGCTTCCGAGAGAATAAATTTCTACTGCTTTAAGTCACCGACTTTGTGGTAATTTGCTCCTAGGAAAATGATACACCCGGGAACTACAAAAATTACAATTCTGAAGATAATACCACCAATATTTGAACCCTGCTCCGGCCATAGAGTCAGAAGTTAATTTTAACTACTGTTGTCACGCAAAGTGGCAAACTACAATGACTCTTAAATCCAGAGACGAATAGCTTGGCTAACTACCCTCACAGATGCTTTGCAAGTAGATCTTTATCTTGAGAACATCAGAGATGTTTCCGACCAGGTGCAGGCCATACAAGAATGTACAAATTTGAATGTATATCAAGAAAAATATTCTTGCCTATAAAAATTGGATAATTTGTGCTTCAGAGTATTTTGGTCTGACTTCATAATTGGCCTCAGCTGAACACTCAACCTTGCTGTTCACCTACTGTCTGTTGCCATTTTGTACAAGTATCTAGTAGTTTGTTGAATAGTTGTGAAGTTGCCGGATGATATATTTTCATATATTTTAAAGTATTTTAAAATAACTTAAAGGCGTAAGTCATCTGGTATCGGCAAAATCAGTTCAGTATATTTTTAGACCATGCTAGTAGACAATTAGGTCACATCCATAAGTGTAATTAGAAGAGCAGGAAAATGGGACACCCTCTAGCAGTGTATGATGTTAAAAACTTTGAAAAGTGTTCCACAAAATGCTAGAAACAGGAAAAACCTTTCAAATATGGCTGATGAGAGAGAACTGATTGGAAAACAAAACCAAAATAAGCAGAGACCATGGCGCTGAAGGTGATATTAATGTTCCGACTTTATAAACATTGAAAACATAATGATAATGGCATTGAATGGATTCCGAGGCTGCTTTCCTCGTGAATTTCAGGAGGTGATCTTTCAAGTTTGGTCAGTCAGTGTGTGTGAGAACAAGCAAAGCTCCCCTCGAATGGGAGAAGAATGCCGTGCGCCTGAAATTATCCCTGTTTCTGAAATTGCCCCAATTAAATCCTTTCTTTTTTAGCTTCACTGTCGTTCAGGTATCCTCTCCTAAGATTCCTAAACGGGTATAAAGTTGCTACCCCCTGAATGGAGAGCAGGAAACAGAATTAAAAGTGGCTCCCACTTCAGAATACTTGTTTCAAAGCGGAGAAGAGCTTTTCTTCTGGTCACTTCTGTACTCTGGTTACACTGTTCTTCAAGCAAAAACTGTGAATTGGTGGTGACAGCCTTTGGATTTTTTTTTTTTTTTTGAGAGAGAGAGAATGAGAGAGAAAGAGCACATGAGAGGGGGGAGGGGCAGAGGAGAAGCAGACTCCCTGCCGAGCAGGGAGCCCGATGTAGGACTCGATCCCGGGACTCCAGGATCATGACCTGAGCCGAAGGCAGTCGCTTAACCAACTGAGCCACCCAGGCACCCAAAGCTCAAGTCCTCTTTTTTTTTTTTTTTTTAAAGATTTTATTTATTTATTTGAGAGAGAGAGACTGAGAGAGAGAGCACATGAGAGGGGGGAGGGTCAGAGGGAGAAGCAGACTCCCTGCTGAGCAGGGAGCCCGATGCGGGACTCGATCCTGGGACTCCAGGATCATGACCTGAGCCGAAGGCAGTCGCTCAACCAACTGAGCCACCCAGGCGCCCCTGGTGACAGCCTTTGAATAGTTTCTTTAGCCTGATGGTTTAAAGGTACTGTGTGAATAAAATAGAATTTCAGGGATTTGTTCTTGTGACTCACCATGTAACTTCTAAAGTGCTAGTTTGTAGAGCAGCGCTCAGGAGCTACAGCTTCGGGTTAGAGTTGCAGTGTTGAGGTCAGGCTCCCCTACAAGCCTTGCAGAGCGAGCAGCAGACTCCATTTGTTATCTACATTAGAAAGCTAGAAGTAGCGAAGAATGTGTTCTTGACTGCAAGAAAAGACATTCATCAAGGAAATTGATACCATCACCCCCTTTGTTTTCACTAGGCTGTTCTTGAGTGACAAGGGTCTACTAAAATAACTTCAGTGGTGACTTCAGCTTCTAATAATGGAATACAATTACAGTAGTCCCCTCCACCCCCACCCTGTAGCCACAGTTTGCTTTCCACGGTTTCAATTACCTGTGGTCAGCTGTGGTCGGGCAGCAGGTGATCATCCTTCTGACGAGTGGTCGGAGGTCAATGGCCTAACCCTACGTGATTCACCTCACTTCATCTCATCGCGTAGACATTTTATCATTTCATCAGAAGAAAGGTGAGTGATGTACAATAAGATGTTTTGAGAGAGAGACAGAGAGAGGCCCCATTCACATTACTTTTAGTACAACAAGTTGTTAGGATTGTCCTATTTTATTAGGATCCTATAAAGAGGGTTCAGTACTGTTTGTGGTTTCAGGCATCCACTGGGGGTCTTGGAAGTTATCCCCCCCAGACAACGTGAGGACTACTGTAGTGTTAAAAAATAGGTTATTTAACTTTTAACTATTACAAAGTGGTTATGAAGTAAAATCATCCAACTACACTTCTGGCATGCTTGCAGACACAGGATACTGTGGCAGGATCTCTGGGAGAGAGATTTTTAAGGATACAAGTCAGAATTTAATTTAAATCCCAATTTTGTTTCTTGTTTTCTAAAGAAACACACCAAACTGGAAGGTAACAAAAATGTACAGAAAAAGGTCTGGATTGGGGCGCCTGGGTGGCTCAGTTGGTTAAGCGACTGCCTTCAGCTCAGGTCATGATCCTGGAGTCCTGGGATCGAGTCCCGCATCGGGCTCCCTGCTCAGCGGGGGGTCTGCTTCTCCCTCTGACCCTCTTCCCTCTCGTGCTCTCTGTCTTTCATTCTCTCTCTCAAATAAATAAATAAAATCTTTAAAAAAAAAAAAAGAAAAAAGAAAAAGGTCTGGATGGAAGTGCCCCGCATATGGTGATATTATGGATAGTTTTTGTGTCCTTTATCCTTTTTTATTTCTGATTTTTCTACTATGAGCATGTAGACCCTTTATAAGCAGGAAAAATTATTTTTAATTTTTTTAGGAAAAATTATTTTTAAAAGATTTTAACTTTAAACACTCTCCTCCTTCCTCTCATTTAGTAGGTCAGGAAACAGGCACACATACACAGATATAGATCATGCATACTTATATATATAGTTAAATTGTTTGAGAAAAGAAAATTCAAGTTAGTCCCTCTATAAACCAATTTTAAGGAAAAAAATGAATTAAAATACTGATAATGTGGGGAAGGAGAAGGATATTAGGGAAAGTAAGTCCCCTCTTGCCCCTTCTCCCAGGCCTCTGATTTTTCAGCAAATCCATATCTGTTTCTGCTTTATAAACATATATATATAATTTCAAACCAGTCTCCCTACTCCTGCAGTCCAGATATAATCCTTATTAACGTTTTGCTACCTATCACTTCAATCTGTTTCTATATCTGTACTATAGAACATAGTGTGTGTGTTTTTGATACAAATAAGATCATACTGTAGATATTGTTTTTCCACTTACTTTTCTCATCCGGCAAATATATCACAGACAGCTTCCCCGGGAGGTATCTACAGCAGGATATTCCGCTGTATGCTTGAATCAAACTGTACTGAGATTTCCCCACTGCTGAATATTTAGATCGCTTTTTGCCATTATAAATAATTCTGTAGTGAGTATCATGAACATTATTTTAAAAGTAGAAAAACACAGAATACAATTTGTTTTCCCTTTTTCAGGTAGGAAGAGTAGTGACCTAGTCTCGCTAATTGCTAAGGAAGGCCAGGGTTGTGGTTTTATCTTGATGGAAATGTCCATATAGAAATTAGGAATTTTTTAAATGACTTTATGGTGAATTTTAAGAATCAAAAACAACTTCAAAGAGGATGCAAATGGCAATGAAATGTTTTTATAGTGCATATACTGTTTAACCCAAGGGAAGAAATATGCTCCCATCCTGCCCTAGTCAGTAACATCTGAAAAGCTTAGGGCATCTTGCCCTAGCAAGAGGGGGAATATTCCATTCACACTTTCAGAGTAAGGTATAAAAACGCCTGTCTCTGCACTCGGGAAATGAGGCAATCATAAATGACTTATCTAGATTACAGACTTTTTTTTTTAATACCTTTTTTTTTTAAGGTTTTATTTATTTATCTGAAAGAGAGAATGGGAGACAGAGAGCATGAGAAGGGGAGGGTCAGAGGGAGAAGCAGACTCCCCGCTGAGCAGGGAGCCTGATGTGGGGCTTGATCCCGGGACTCCAGAATCATGACCTGAGCCGAAGGCAGTTGCTTAACCAACTGAGCCACCCAGGTGCCCCCAGACTTTTAAAAAGAAGTTTATTTATTTAAGTAATCTCTAGACCCAATGTGGGGCTCAAACTCACAATCCCGAGATTAAGAGTTGCATGCTCTTCTGACTGAGCCAGCCTGGCTCCCCTAAATTATAGGCTCTTATACGCACCAAAATTTAGACATTTGTAAATGTGTCAGGAAACGTCTATAAGGACTGCACACTTCCAGGCTATCTTAACTGGAGCATGCTAAACACAGTTTGCATTTTATTGACAATTTAGGGCCTCCATAAATACTGTCTATCCACTGCAGTACTGTGACCTGCCCCGCGCTCGGTGTTGCTAAGCTGAAGTTCGAAGTCAAGCAACTTGTTGGCTTGTGATAGTGGAGGAAGGAGGGGAGAAGTGTTGCAACTCTGCATCACATTACATGTTTTGTGTGTGTTTGGTCTCCTGAGAGTCAGCAGCTCTGGCTAAGGATTGACCCAGAAATTTGTGGGACATAATTGATGAACTCCGTAAGGCCAGTCCCAGTGACCAAACTGAACATGTCCACTAAGGGGTTATTTGATTAGGAAGAGGGAAGACAATGAGATACTGGATTCGACATGCAGTTGGTAGACAGGATTCTTAAAGCATCAAAGCTCTGGGGGACGGAGAGTTGCTTGTAGCTAAAACGCCAAAAAGAGAGTCACTGGTAGCAAAAAGATGGAAAATATCATTTCCAAGTTCCTTTCCAACTCTATGAGGCTATGATTGCATTTTCACCGAGGGATCCCAGTTGCAAGCACAGACAACCAAGACCCCAAAAGCTGTTTTTCTAAGAATGTAGTGGTGGCTGGGAGTAACTTAAAAGCAGAAAGGACAGTGTGAATCAGGGGGAGAAGAAAATGAAGCAGAAGCCCAAACAAGGAGAAAACGCCCAAAGACTATAGCTCTTTTTCTCAGACCAAATCATGCAACTAGATACTACAAATGCTTCATACTCAGTGCCATAGATTAAAACAGAAGAGGCTGTCATTCCAAATAGTTATGATTTTTAAAAAGGAAAGAAAATGGTACAAGGACATGTGTACAATAAAGATCAATAATTTATCTTTTACTTCATAAATATTAAATGCCCATTATATATAAATGGCAAAAAGATATAGATATTGCAGGCAGTCTGTGTGAAGAACAAGGAATTGGGAAGACATTTCCTTTGAGAGTGACATGGAAATCTGCTATTTTCTGAGTAGCTGGCGTTCTAGGCGGGCTGACGGTATTCAATGTCGTGGCCTTGCCCCGATGTCTGGGACCACTGGAAAGCCAACAGCAATGGCAGCCCCACGCCCCCCGGCTGCCTCTCGCGTCTCTCTCCCTCGATTCCTTTCTTTCTCCCTTGCTTCCCATCTCCCTCCTCTTCCTCACAAGTCTGAATGAGAGAAATTCTCATGCAGAAATCCCATCTGCCAGGCTGCTCTAAGACACCTCACTTTTGACATTTAAAGTGAGCGAGAAAGCCGACTTTGCGAGGCCATCCAGAATGCTGGCTGTAGGCCAGGAAGACACCACCTGCTAGGTCAGCCGCGGCAGTGAGAGAGGTGTTTCGATGAGCAACATTTCTGTTTGTCTCACATGCAGGGAAGTGGACAGCAGCTGGCCTTTGCATAGGGCAACAGTCCTGAACCCCCAAAGTCCATGGATTTCTAGAGGGTCTGCTTGAAATTTTATGCAAGAGGTGTATGCGCAGGTGGAAGATCCAGGGTTTTCACAGATTCCCCAAAGGGCACAATGACCAAAAGAGGTGAAGCCTGGCATGGAGGATGTCAGATAACCCTGGTGCCTCCCCATATCCTTAGACCCTGTGTGGTGTCCCCAGGGCACTTCCTGTTGAATCTCCTGATACGACTAGAATGACGTGCCAAGTTCAGCTGACTCTGGCAAGGGTTTAGGGAGTGAATCCATGAAACAGGACCTACTGAACTATCCAGTTGCAACTTTCCCACCATCTAACCCTTGGGTCTTCATCTATCAGAAAGAGGAGAGGGATCTGTGTTTTTATTTTACTCTGTGCCATTAAAGGATATTTTTTAAAAGAATATAATCACACTTCTTATACAAACATGAAAGGAACAAGTATCAAGGATTATATTTAAGTCATTAATTAATAAGGGAACTGGAAAGACATTACAACAGTTTAAGAAGACAACTCAGAGGACCACATGTCTACACTCAGAAACGGAATGCCAAAATGAATTTACGAATAGTGCAAAACTTGCAAAACTCATCAGTGTCCATAAGGTGATGATCAATTGCATCCCAACAGACCAGTTGCATTTTTTTTTTTAAAGCTTTTATTTATTTGACAGAGAGAGACACAGCAAGAGAGGGAACACAAGCAGGGGGAGTGGGAGAGGGAGAAGCAGGCTTCCCGCAGAGCAGGGAGCCCGATGTGGGGCTCGATCCCAGGACCCTGGAATCATGACCTGAGCCGAAGGCAGACGCTTAACGACTGAGCCACCCAGGCGCCCCACCAGTTGCATTTCTAAACATAGAATTTAATTGCTTTCCTATCAGTTTTGTACAAGTTAACTTCTATTTCTCCAGAGTCTCAAATAGGCAAAGACAAAAATAGAGATAACCAAGTGCGCTAACTAGCCAGAGCATTTCCAAATTGCAAAGTATTTCACAATTTTTCTTTATGGTGCCTTTGTTCTTAGGAAGCTTTCTTTGAGACAAGTCTCATGTGTTAATGGCTACCAATTCAGTGTGATTTGGGGACCCCCAAGAAGACCCTTCTTTATCACCCAATTCTTACCTACCTGCTTGCAAGATACCTGAAATTCCACCCTGGGAGCTTTGATCTTCATGTGGGCCTTGATTTATGTCACTCAGAACCCCCCCCCTCAAAGAGCAAGGTTTATCAGATGCCTTGGAATGCACAGAGCATTCTCATGGGTATTAACACGTCTGATTCTCGTAACAACCCGTTTTATAAGTGATGAGACCTGGAGGCTTGTCCAAAGTGACACTTGGGGACTTGCACTCGGTTCTCCTGGTTTCAGAAGGTGTCCATTGCCTGCTGTGCTATGGGGCCTTAAAAGGCCAGTGCTTGGGGGAGCTGTTCTACTGAAGGCAGACTGAGGCACAGGAAGAGGATTCACACGTGCTCTCGAAGTCCTCAGACACAATCATTGAACATGGAAAGTTCATTCAACATCCATGCGTCACGTAGTTATTGGGTACCTACCTTGTGCCAGGCCCTGGGAACCTAGTATTGAAAAGGCAGATAGAGTCCCTGGGCTTGGGGAATTAAGTGCTCTAGGGAAGACAAACATCAAACAGCCCAATGCTCTATGAATTATTCAGTCACGAAAGCGAGAAAGAACTGCAGAGGTGGCGTGGCCATATCCAGATGGTCTGACTTTAGGTGAGGGTTGGGGAAGGAGGGACAGGGAAGGGTTATTTAAGTTCTGCTGTCAGGAATGACTAGCAATTAACGGTGTGTGTGTGTTGGTGGGGGGAGGTTCTGTATGGGGGAGGGGTGGAAGAAAAAAATATTTCAGGCAAAGGGCACAGCATGTTGAAGGCTCTAAATCAGATGCTCGTATTTCTATCATTCTCCTTTTCTATCTCCCTCTGTACCTATGGGCTCTTCTCTCTGCATCTTAAAACAAAAACTAAATATTTTCCTAGGTAGAATGTACTGTGGAGACATTCTTGAGCAGAAGGACCTTTTCTCCTTATCTAGACTCTCTCTCTCTCCCCACCTTAAGAGGAATCTAGTAACTTCGTCATTTCTGAAAATTCACTGAGTCCTAAGTTGCTTTTAGTCACCCTCATTTTATCAAAAATAAATGTATCCTTTCTTGAAAGAGGGAGTGGATATTGTCGATGCAAAATGAACAAACCTTTTAGAATCTCTAAAAGTAAGAAAAAGAGGGGTGTCTGGGTGGCTCAGTTGTTAAGCGTCTGCCTTCGGCTCAGATCGTGATCCCAGGGTCGTGGGATTGAGCCCCGCATTGGGCTCCCTGCTCGGTGGAAAGCCCGCTTCTCCCTCTCCCACTCCCCTTGCTTGTGTTCCCTCTCTCGCTTCTCTCTGTCAAATAAATAAATAAAATCTTTAAAAATAAATAAATAAATAAAAGCAAGAAAGAGAGCTTTATTCAAGCCTGGGAAACACGGCCTTCACGGGGAAGAAAGTGTTCTGGAGAATGAACAGTTTTTACAGGGTTCTATACTTTTTTAGATGTTGTAAAAGCTCAGGAGATTATAGATTAGCCTATAGGCAGGAATCATGAGTTTTATTGTAAAAGGAACGTAGAGAATAGGAGCACTGGCTGAGCTCTCCAGGATGAGATGCTTTCCTTTGGGCAACTCATTCACAGTGCATGCGTGGCCGGCCATCACTCAGGCCTGTGGTGTGAACAAAGTTTATAGACAGTCATGTTGACTTAGAAAGAAATGTAAAGTGGTTTCCCTTGGCTCCCTGCTCAGCGAGGAGTCTGTGTCTCCCTCTCTCTCTGCCCCTCCCCACCACTCATGTGCACTGTCTCTCTTGTCTCTCTGTCTCTCTGTCTCTCTCTCGCTTGCTCTCTCTCTCAAATAAATAAATAAAATCTTTAAAATAAAGTAAAATAGGGGCACCTGGGTGCCTCAGTTGGTTAAGCGATTGCCTTCGGCTCAGGTCATGATCCTGGAGTCTCGGGATCGAGTCCCGCATCGGGCTCCCTGCTCAGCAGGGAGTCTCCTTCTCCCTCTGATCCTCCCCCCTCTCATGTTCTCTCTCTCTGTCTCATTCTCTCTCTCAAATAAATAAATAAAATCTTTTAAAAAATAAAATAAAATAAAGTAAAATAAAATGGCTTCCCTTGTATATCAGACCTTTAGAGAGTTTTTCTCTCATCAATATAAAAAGGTGTAAGAATGGGGGGAAAACAACTGACAATGTTAATCTTATCTCTAGAGTATCAGAATCTGGATGCTATGCAGACCGAGCGCTGTGTGACTCTGGGTCCCTGTTAGTAAATTTCGAAGCCCTGGAAGGGAAGAATTGGGAAAACCATGGTTGTTACTCACCGTCAAAAATGCGAGAACTCCATGGAAAAAGACCAGAAGACGCACACACTGGAGCATGTTGAGGTGCTGAAAGCGCAAGAGAAACTTTTATTCCTACAGATAAACATGGGCATGTACATACATTGATGCTGACTCTTCAGTCTTTATTGAGCACCGACTGTGTACCATGGAAGCAGTAGAGCCCAGGCTGACTTTGAAACCCTAACTTTGATGCTTGCTAGCTGTGTGACTCGGGCAAATTATTTAACCTCTTTTTTTTTTTTAAGATTTTATTTATTTATTTAATTGACACACACAGAGAGAGAGACAGCATGAGGGGGAACACAAGCAGGGGGAGTGGGAGAGGGAGAAGCAGCTTCCGGCTGAGCAGGGAGCCCGATGCGGGGCTCGATCCCAGGACCCCAGGATCATGACCTGAGCCGAAGGCAGTCGCTTAACCAACTGAGCCACCCAGGCGCCCCTATTTAATCTCTTTGTACCTCATTTTCCTTACCTATAAAATGGGGGTAATATTAAAAGGTATTCCAAGAGTGGTTATGAAATTTGAATGAGGTAGTGTATACAAAGCACTTAAGATAGTGCATAGAACACAGGTGGCCCTCCAGTTTTTAGCTTTTATTGTTACTACCATGCTCTGAGCCGGGCACCAAATAGATACAGGGCTAGGTAAAATGAAGGTCTGACTGTCAAGGAATTCATAGTCTATTTAAGAGATTAAATACAAGGAACAGATTTCTGCTTCCACTGCTTCCTGCTTTATTCCTTACTTACAGTGGTTACTCATCAAATGTTTGTGGAGAGAATCCCTAAACTGCATGTCACTCAGAATGACATTGACCTGCTTTGCACAACTGTCTAGGTCAGAAGATGGAACTTTCGAAAGCAAAAAACAAAAACAAAAACAAAAAAACCCCCTAAAGTAGAAATAACTAATGGGTGTGTGGCTCCCAGAAAATCAGACTCTTTTTAACTTGACGCCAAGATCCTTGGTGGATCCTGGGGTTCCTTGACCTTGATCTTCCCGCCCCATCACAGGCAGGAAGCACATTTAATTTGCAGCGCCCCCACCCTGGCCAGAGGCCCTGGAGGTATTTCCCAAGGATTCTGATTCAGTAGGGTGGTGGGCAACATTGCAGCCTCCCCCAGGGACCGCTGGAGACCCACCGAGCCCTGTGAGTCAGCAAGCCTGGTTCCCAGAAAACAAAGAGAACGGTGGACACCCCCACCCCCTCGCTGGACTTGTCCTTCTCCTGGCCTTATTTCCTGGTGTGGGGAAGACACCGCACATCATCACTCCTTTGGAAGCAGGAACTCTCTGAAGAGTTTTGATGTGAATATTTGCTGACTATCGAAAAGTACCAAAATATGCCACCCCAAAATAGGCCTCTATGGCATCTGAATTATTTTGAGCCAAGGCCATCGAGAACCAGCAGATGCAGGGAAAGTTCTAAAAACAGGACATAGGTTTTCCTTTCGTAAAGGAAATTCCCATTTGTGAAAGGTGTCTCCCTCTCCAGTACCAAGAAGAGGAGAATTCTCTCTTTTTTTTAAGATTTTATTTATTTATTTATTTATTTATTTATTTATTTATTTATTTATTTAAGAGAGAGCGTGTGAGCGTGCCTGCAAGCTGCGGGAGGAGCAGAGGGAGAGAGACAAGCAGGCTCTGCACTCCGACTTGGGGCTGCTTCCCTTGACCCAAACCGAAATCAAGCCTCAGCCACCCAGACACCCCAGGAAGTGGAGAATTCATAACAATTCTTACTGACGTGAAGGCACTGACTTGAATCTGCATAATAAGCCTTACTAAACAAACCTTGTTACCATTCTCTCCCTGGTCCCCTTCCCATAATTTGCTTCCCCAAAACTCTTTTCTTCCGTTTTAGCTGAGATGGTATATAAGCCCAAGTTCTGACCACCTCTTTGGGTTACTCATCGCCGGGGACCCCCATGTGTGCATACATGATGCACATGTTAATAAACTTCTGTTTGGTTTTCTCTTGTTAATCTTTTTGCCAATCTAATTTATAGGACCTCAGCCACAGAACCAGACAGGTAGAGGAAAAAACATTTTTCTCCTCCCATACACTATTTCTTGCCTACCCATCTCCCTCAAATCCTTTATTGAGAGATCTCTATATTCCAGGTCCTGTGTAGAGTGCTTTCCACACATTATTATTACATTTGATCCTCACAGTTCTATATCTGGTGGGTATTTTATGCCTATTTTATAAATGAGGAAATCAAGGGTTAGAAAAGTTAATAACTTCCTCAAGGTCACACCAAAGTAGGTGGTAGAGCCAGGGTTTGAATGTCTATCTGACTCCACTTGATTCTTTTTGAGTGACCCAGGTCTCCAGGCCTCTGTTTCTTACTTAACTCTTTGGAGTCAGGCAGGGTAGTGGGCATGTGTGAGTATTTTACCATTTACACCGAGCTTTCTCAAAACAGCCTAGGGCAGTGGTTCTCAGGTGTATCCAGGCAAAATTGAACTTTGTTTTCTTTGGAACTTTCCCAGGAGGAGTCCACCATTTTGGACCATCACATCACCAATGGCCACATTTCCTGCCATTTGCATTTGTTCCTGTTGTATTCACGGTGATCTGCCTGGAAGCACAAGGAGCCGACAAATACTGTGTCTTCTAACAGAGTCATGCCTGAGCAACTACATATTGAAATATCTATTGTTTCATAATAAATCACTCTCTCTTTAGTTCTGCTTTATAGTATAGTTAGAGCATTATATTTGTTTTTTTAAGGTAAGCGTATATACAGATGGTTTTATTTATGCACTTCATTACTGAAGACTCCCCTGAGCATTACAAATACTTGTACTTAACAGGGGTATAAGATCTGACAAGCCTGGAAGAAAAAGGGAGAACCAAGTGACACAGAATCTGGGATCTAAAAAGACTGCTGTACTATCTGGACTTTCTGCCCCAGGGGTGGCTCTTTGTCCCAAGCATCTCCCGTTCTGGTGGCCTCTCTGCTGATTCTCACTTTGGGGATTGAAGCAGAGGAAAAACTAGGGTGGGTGTCAGCCCCTTGGCAGCAGCGAGTCCTGGTTAGGTGTCTTGAGGAGGGAATAGGGGTCTTTGGCCACCAAAGAATGGCTGCCAAAAACCCTTCCCATGAGAAGGGAAAAAGTGAGAGACAAAGAGAGATGCTGAGAAAAGGCAGCAGAAAGAGCGGGTAGGCCCAGTGGAGGCAGAGGAGGCGGAATGACATGCACAGGGGAGTAGATAGAATGGGGGCAGACAGGTAGAGGTGCCTAGGCTGGTTCCAGGTCATTGGCTTCCAACTTTGAGGCCACTGGTAAATGTTGTCCTGGCTAAAGCGAGTGCTCGGCGTGGGTCCAGTGCAGAGCTTGCCTTCCACCTAATCAAATGTCTGTTTGGGGGCGCCTGGGTGGCTCAGTCGTTAAGCATCTGCCTTCGGCTCAGGTCATGATCCCAGGGTCCTGGGATCAAGCCCCGCATCGGGCTCCCTGCTCAGCGGGGAGCCTGCTTCTCCATTTCTCTCTGCTCCTCCCCCCAGCTTGTGCTCTCTCTCTCTCAAATAAATAAATAAAATCTTTATTAAAAAAATCAAGTGTCTGGCCGCCCCCACCTCCTCGGGGAATAATAGCCGATAATACAAATAACTCACGGCGTGTCTCACACCTGCCATACTGCATCCTGTTCCAGCTCCTTGAACTAGGTTTACTCACTCCTCTCAGCAGCACCCTGAGGTAGGGAGTATTTCTATTTCTATTTTACTGATGAGGAAACTGAGGCACAGTGCAGTTGAATAATTTGCCCAAAGTCCTGGCTATGAAATGGAGATCAGGGTTCTAACCCAAGTACTTTGGCTGCTGTGGACGGTATTCTGCTCCCCCAAGTTCATACATTGAAGCCCGACCCCTCCAGGTGATGATATTTAGAGGTGGGCCTTTGGGAGATAACAAGGTTTTGATGAGGTTGTGCAGGTGGGATCCTCATGATAAGATGGGTGCCTTAGAAGAGGAGACTGGAGGGACTGCTTGCTCTCTCGCTCTCTCTCGCTCTCTCTCTCTCTGCCATATGAAGATACAACACAAAGGAGGCCACGTGCAAACCAGGAGGAGAGCTCTCACCAGCACCCGACCATGCTGGCACCTAGCCTCGAGACCTGTGAGAAATGAAGGACTGCTGTTGAAAGCACCCAGCCGATGGCATGGGGCCACAGGAGCCCAAGCTAAGACCCAGGCCCACCATGTTGCTCTTCGGGCCCCTTGGTTCTGTGTGTGGCACAGTTCCTGGTGTTGGGGCAGCTCCGGCCCTGGGAGCCGATGTTCTGTCATGAACGATGACACTGGCTACTTTCATTTTCGATGAGGCCTAGAGTCTTCCTCTAGCATCCTCCTGACCAGCAGTCCCCAAATGGGGCCATTCCCCACCACCACTCAGTCACCTGCATTGAGGAAGGACAGCTGGACAGACTCTGTGTGGACAGATTAAGCTACTACTCTGTAGTATTGTCTGAAAAATATTAACCCCTAAAGATGACCTCTCCGCCCCTCCCTAGGATATTGTCTGATATTCCAACTTCACAGAGTCATTCCTTTGAGTTGACTTACTGCCTCTCCTAATCAATTCAATTCCATAAACATTTATTGAGCACTGTGCAAGGTGGCAGGGACAAAGAGAAGAAAGATATTCTCTTTTATAGTGAAGGCTTATCAGGCCTGCCAGTTCCACGGGTGCCTTCTGAATCGGGAAAAGCAACCTGGCTGGTATGACCACATTACAAGGGAGCTGTTCAGTAAGAATGCTCCGTGTCAGGGGACAATTAAGCACCCACGTTGGGTCAGGGACAATGGGAAGTGAAACCAGACCTGCCTGGAGAGAGAATAGAGACAATACATCTGAAGGGTCCCTAAATCTAGAGAACTACTGGAAATCTAGAGATTTCTCCCAGAAACGTTCCAGAAGTCTAGAGAACCATCTCAGGAAAGTTAGGCCAAGTGGGGAGCTATGTCATGATAATAACATTTTTTAAGAATAATAAAACAATAATAACGAAACAAATCCTTACTGAACTCTCATTACAAACAAGGGCAGTCTCATTTGCTCTTTGCAACAATGCTACCAAATAGGTTTTAAAAACCAGTAAATGTTTAAATAAGTAACTGGTACATGTTTAAATTACCTGTTCTGTTAGTTTTTAAAAAGCTTGGCTGGAATAACTTTAGAAAAGCTACAGTAAACAATCTGAGTAAAATGTCTTTTTTATCCAGTAGCTCCTAATTTTTAAAACAGATCTTGTAGGTGTGGGATTGTTTTCTTTTCTTCAGCTCTGTTAAATTGAGCGTTCCTCCAGAGTCCAGCAAAGGGAAAAACATAATGACTACAGTCTTATCATTTCGAATTTGAAACAACAAAGAAATGTAAGGAAAAAATCTTTCCTAGCCACACACTTTGCTGATTCTGTCTCTGCCTTTTCCCTTCAGCAAAATTGCTAAGGCAGAGCAGGAAAGAGAAAGAACTGGAAGCCTAGCAGGACTCATCAACAGAGTTGCTTACCTCAGGTCTCTGATGTTTTTTGCTTGTTTTTACCATACATATAATCTATAAAAAACTATTGAGCATGGACCATATATACGTATATAAACAGAATTTATCATTTAATTATTTATCAGTTTTAAGCATGTTCTACTGCATATATCCTATGTACATTATAGAACTCACTAAAAAATAAGTTTTGAAGTATGGTATTTAAAATATACAAATTCTAAAACTCTTTTTCTATTCTAGTGGGTCTTGTTGCCCACTCTTAGGATACAAACACACTACTCTTACTCTGGTGACCACCGCACCTGCCACATCCATCCGACATAGCTCCAGCATGTCCTGAAGCCTGAACGTTCACTCTGCCCAGAATAAATCAATGAATTAGAGTCGACACTTCCCTCCAGACCCCTTGAGACTTACCTGCTGTCACTGGAGTGTTCTAAGACAAGCAGAAGATTCTATCAGAACGCAACACCAACAAGGCATTCCCTTGACCCCACGGAATATTCCTGGTAAAGAATTCTGTGGTTTTGTGTGTTTTCTATACAGGAGACCTTACAACCCATGATGTCAGGTAGGGCGCAACAGTCTGTTTTCAGGATTTGTTTTGAGAGAATTGCTTACCCCTGGCTTTGCAGCCAACCACACTGCCCCTCATGGCACATAATTATACAGAGGCTTCCAGAGCTGGTCGAGGCCGGAGTCTATGGTGCACGGATCAGTGAATTCCTAACCACCAGAGAACCCCTAAAACGAACAGAACCAATCCTGTAGGCAAGTTAACATTGAAATGTTGTGTGCGTCAGTTTTATTTTTTTCAATTGACTGATTAAAAATTTACAATTGTCAGAGAAAAATATAAGGCAGATGTCAAATTCTAATTAAATAAACTTAAGTTATATCACATCTTCTGTGCTGGCCTTTGTCTCAGACATTATTTTGTTATTCAGAGATCTAAAATCTGGATGGTGTTCATTATAAAAATTCTTCCACTTCAGGATGTAAACAATACTTGCTTCTCACTTCCTACGGTGTTTCAGTAAATGCCAGGAAAATACAAAATGCTATGTTTGGTGGACACATAGGAATGTACCAGAATGTGGGGCACCTGGGTGGCTCAGTCAGTTAAGCGTCTGCCTTCGGCTCAGGTCATGATCCCAGGGTGCTGGGATCGAGCCCCACATTGGGCTCCAAGCTCTGCAGGAAGTCTGTTTCGCCCTCTCCCTCTGTGTGCACTCTGTCAATCTTTCTTTCTCTCTCTCTGAAATAAATAGTCTTAAAAAAAAAAAAAAAAAGATATGTACCAGAACGTGTACACATATAAATCCTGCAAAGGAAGTTCATACAACAGAGCTTTCTAGAGAGCAAACTTGTATCCCTCACAAATATGTATGAGAAGTACACTGATTGCTAGCAGAGGAAGCTGGGGAAACTTACACCCAGTCTTACTTTAGCAGACTTTCCAGCACACTCTAACACATGGTCAAGCCGCAACGGGCTACTCCAGTCACAGAGCCCTGCGCAGGCTGCGCCCCCGCCCTACCCCCGCAGCGGGAGCCCCTCTTCACCCAGCGGTGCTCACCGGCGTCTGTTGGCTAAGCTAGCCTGGGCAGCAATCAGAAGTCCTTCTGAGCACCCATGCAGAGCGGTGGGTCTCAAACCTGGCTGCCCATGAGAACCATCCCAGGCAGTTTTAAAATACTGATGTCCTGGTTGCTTCTACAACCCAAATGTTCCATTCGGTTGGTCTGGGATAAGATTTGGTGTGTTTTTTAAAGGTCCCTAGATGATTCTAGGGTAGAGCCAGGGCTGGGAAGTTCTGGGTAGGCATTTACCCTCCAGGAACCAGCTGTCAAGATGAATGTGACTGCATCGTTTATTAACGATGTAAATATTTGTTTTACTAAGGACTTTATTTGCCCTCAGTACTTTGATCACGGAACTGTAATTCATAGCCTTTAAGGTCCCTGCTATATAGTCAAATATATCTTATTGTTTTTAGCAGCACCCTCCCAGGTATAGCAAATAACTGCTTCTTCAAAGCAGCGAGATCCCATGAGGACAGAGGCGCAGGATGTCTTGCTCTCTTCTGTCTCCCTAGGGCCTAGAACTAAGGAGATGTTAAAAAATTACTTGTTGAGGTGCACCCCGATGTTTATAGCAGCAATGTCCACAATAGCCAAACTGTGGAAAGAGCCAAGATGTCCATCGACAGATGAATGGATAAAGAAGATGTGGTATATATATACAACGGAATATTATGCAGCCATCAAAAGGAATGAGATCTTGCCATTTGCAACGACATGGATGGAACTGGAGGGTATTATGCTGAGCAAAATAAGTCAGAGAAAGACATGTATCATATGACCTCACTGATATGAGGAATTCTTAATCTCAGGAAACAAACTGAGGGTTGTTGGAGTGGGGGGTGGGGTGGGAGGGATGGGGTGACTGGGTGATAGACACTGGGGAGGGTTGTGCTCTGGTGAGCGCTGTGAATTGTGCAAGACTGTTGAATCTCAGATCTGTACCTCTGAAACAAATAATGCAATATATGTTAAGAAAAAAAAAAGAAGAAGAAGGTAGCAGGAGGGGAAGAATGAAGGGGGGGAAATCGGAGGGGTAGACGAACCATGAGAGACGATGGACTCTGAAGAACGAACTGAGGGTTCTAGAGGGGAGGGGGGTGGGAGGATGGGTTAGCCTGGTGATGGGTATTGAGGAGGGCACGTTCTGCATGGAGCACTGGGTGTTATGCACAAACAATGAATCATGGAACACTACATCTAAAACTAATGATGTAATGTATGGGGATTAACATAACAATAAAAAATTTAAAAAAAAAATTACCCGTTGAATGGGTAGATGATCGAACAGAGAAAGCTAAGACCATATATTGGGCTAGTGAACTCAAATACATTGAATGATAGAGTCTGGATGAAACTGATCTCTACATGTGAGAGGAGATGAGATGGAAGTCTAATCAGAAAAGTGATAACAGAGGTAAATGTCAGGTCCTGTTCTTCAGTCTAAAGGCACAGGGATAGAACACACCAAACATGTTTTCAGAAATGCCTGAAAAGGACTTAGTAGTTACCCCAAAAGACAGTCCTAGCCCTAGATCATAGTAATAGATGTAGGGTCTAGCATGTAGGAGGCCATCATTCCATTTTTGTCATTTTCCAGATCACATCAGCAGCATTACATGCACTTCTGAAACCCACCATCAAGAGTGGGAACAAGATAAAAACTAGAGCACATTTGGAAAAGCCTCCTAGGATATGGGGAGAAAGTGAACCATGTCATAAAGAGAATGGTTGGAGGACTGGGGAATTTTTGCTTAGAGAAACTTGGGACTGTGAGGGTTATTTTTATGTATATTTAAGGGGTAATCATTGGGAAGACAGGCTAGATTTATTCAGTGTGACCCCAAGAGTTGAGCTAGGACCACATTTTAGCCCCATACAAAGAATAACTTTCCCCATATCAAAGCTATCCAAGAAAGGATTATGGAATGGGCTGTCCTACATAGAGTGAGTTCTCTGTTGCTAGAAGTTGTTCTGGAAGATGTCTGTATGCTGACGATATTGTGGAGGACCCTGAGAGTCTTGTTTAAATGCCAATACTATCTTAGTTCATCTGGAGTAGAGACTGCTCTCTTCTGCATTTCTAACAAGCTCTCAGATGAGGTTTACTCAATGGCCTTCAAAGTCATTTCCAAGCCTGAGACAGGTTTTTATGAAATAAATACATGTCCTCTCCTACATGAACTCCATTCCCTTTCACTTCTAGGTGTGGCCCTATTGCAACCATTTGTGAGGAGAGACCTTTGGGAAATCTCCCTACTGAGGCCAAAGTCCCCTAGGAATGCCATACAAT